AATTAAAAGGGAACAGAAAATACAACAACGCGCTTTTTAATCAAAGGAATGAAACTATGTAGACGTATATGTAATGTAAGGTGTGGACAACAGCTGACTGACTGATTCGTAATAAAGGACTAACACGCCTGATTTAAGCGAGAATAAGCAAGTAAATAACAATTACTACACTTACCTTACTAAATGATTTAGATTTTTCACCAGATTTCAAGCTTTCAGCTAATTCTTTACTTTCAAATAAACGCTAAAAAAGATACAAAAAGGAAGGTGAATAGACTAATCACTTGCAAAACAGCAGTTATCATCAGCCGTACATCGGTTATTAATAATTGAAACCTTGTGGTTAGCGGTTAAGACTGACCGATGATGTAATTTAAAATTTGTTACAATATGGAAGATGATCGTGAAAGCAGAATGCGTTTTTTATTTGACTAACAACTCAACCTAACCTAAGTGGAACTTTGCACAAAAGTGCATCAGTTCAAACTGCCACACTACAGAAAACCAAAACCAAAACTGTAAATGATTCTAGAACCACTCATATTTAGCATTCCGAGGACTGAGGAAGGATAAACTTCATTCCACTATATAACTTATTCCAGAAATCAACGACCTCATAGATGGGTACTATAGTAAGATCTGACTACCATTGCGTTTCTTGTTGAATCCTAATTCATAGAGAAAGTCATCTCGCTATGCATAAAACACGTCTTAGCCAACTATTTCAACCAATGCGATTCCATAACATGAACGATCGAATTACTCTCATTATCTAAAACGACACCTAACATCCGTATTACTTATTACACAGATAAAAATCTTCAAATATTCTAATCCTTTAAAATTCTCAATCTTCAGTAACAATGAATCACGAACGGAATGAACTTTTGTGCAAACCGTTTATCATCACAGAGACTGAGATTTCGCCACCAACCAAATGAAGTAGTCAATGCATTCAAACACCTCACTATCTATTCTTCAATTAGGAGTCCATTCAACTAGTCCTCTGATATCAATTTACATTTAGCAAGGATAAATTACATGCTACATATAGTTAGACTTTTATTTAAGGTTTTTATAATATACTGACTAGTATTTTGTCAGAGCTATAAAAGCTGTACATTCTAGATGCAAGAAACTTTTCCCATTTATTAGCTAGAAGATAATAGGCTACTACTAATTAGGCATATTTTCTTATGATGACACATTTAACCAAAAAAAATTAATTATATAAAGACATATAAACCGCTAACAAGAACTTACAGCCACTTTTTGTTCAAATAAATTACGATGAAAACAGAAGGTTGTGTCAGCTGTCACATGAAATTCACCCATCATTCTGTCAATGCTTAAACACTGTGTTTGCATCTCTTCACGGCTTAGTTGAAGATTTAAAAATGTAATGAATTGAACTAGTGTGCCTTGACACTTTAAAATAAAATTAATTTTGACAAAACGAATTAGTGAATTGAAATATACCGTGAAAAATAGTTAAATAAGTAACCCTAATATAAAACATGCATAGCTTATTCACAAAAAGAATCACAAACTACACACATCTGTTGAAATGTTAACGAAGGTGTCTAGACACTTTCGGAATACTGACATTTACAAATATGAATGAGGAAATTTAGTTTGAATACAAGGAATTACTTATTATACTCGTTGAAATCAAACGAAGTAATTATCTATTCTGTAACTACACGTATTAACTGATACACTTTTCAACAATTCTATTATGCAGCTAAACAACATCATAGGTGAAAGCTTATGATACCCTGAGGTTGTAAAAACTGAAATGATTTGACAAGGATTCAAACTGTCAAACTATTTACATAAAAAGCCCAGATGGTCAGTTTTACCAATGCAGGGAATCAACATTCCACCAAGTCGCTGAAGAGAATGATGTTTGTAAACATGAATTTTTAAATCGGATTTCAGTAAGCACAACTTTTTTTATTCATTAGTTAGCAATGTAGGCTCCAATGAATTTGTGTATATCAAATATACATTAGGAGCTGTGTGTATCTGGCACAAGGTGAAATTATTCAGACATAAACTTACCTGTTCGCAAAACATACATAGATGTATTTAGTGATATCACAATTGGTGGATTATATGTAGTATATGTTATATGACAGCAAACAATACTACTATGTGCTAAATGGCAGAGAACTGTTAAAATCTATGTTCAAGTAGCTGAATATCTAGAATACCTATTAACAAGCAGATTAACTTACTTCCACGACGTGCATAAAACTCACATTCCATAGGAACATGTTAATCAGCCTATTGGACAAGGAATATCACACCTCTTGAAGGATATAATATAACTAGATCAGATTTCTCTTTCTATTCCTTTGTTCCTTGCTTTGAAGTTTCAGTAGTCGTGTTGTCTTTACTGGATAGGGTTGCTAGCGGCAATCCCAACCATCCCTCTTTCCCAGTCTTACTAACAGATAATAAACTAGGCGAGATTTAGAAGTGCGTCATCCGGGGATCAAACGTCGACCGTGTGCTCGGATGGTGAGCATACAACCATCGAATCACCGACACATTTATTTTGACATTTTACATGGAAATTTTTTTAAAAGGCAACCCACCTGATCATATAAACGACCAGCTAGCTTACAGTGACGTTCAGGATCATCTAAGAATATAATAGCCTCACGCTGTTGAGCCATCAAAAATATGAAGGGCATAATTAGATTATGTTCAATTAAAGCTTCTTTAAGACGTGCAGCATTACGACGTGTATTACGTATTTGTGCATAATAACCACCTTCTTGTAATAATAACTCTCCACCAGACATTGACTCTAACTGTTCATCTGTCATTTCTTCAGAGATATCGATTCCCGACATACGATGTATAATTTCACGCAATATTACCAAATCATAACTGTTTTTCAGTACGAAAAAAGGCAAAGAAGGATACATAGTGAAAAAGGGGAAAATAAGAGAATACAAAAATTCTTTTACTATTTATCATTTCCTTGTGTCTCCAGTGGAACATAGTACTTCGGCTGTACATGACCACCATTCCACTCGATTCTCTGACATCACTTTCAGGTGAATTTATGACTACGAACAAGTTTTCATTTCCTATTCACATGATCTATGTCACCCTCGGACATCCAACTCATCCCTTCCTATACGGGCTCCAGTGGAGGGTCTCGCATATAGTTTCGCTCTGCACACCAACATGACCGAGTTTGGAAAGGACTACGGCAGCGAAGGCCGCCAATTAATTCGGTGATGTATAAACCTCATTCAATAGCCTTCTAATGTTGCGCCAACGGAAAGCTTATCAAAGAGTATGAAGTGAGCGAAGGAGTGAGACAAGGCTGTCTACTACCATCGATGATTTTGCTAACTGTCATAGTCTAGGAATACAAGACACAAACATTGATAATGGGAAGTAAGAACGAAGTGACCGAGGTCTCCTAAATCGCATAACATTATACAATATTTAATCGTTGTTGTTCAAGTAGAGTTTCCAGAAATTTATGAATGGTATTGAATAGCTCTATTTAACTTACGTGTCTTAATAGTGAACAAAAAAACACTATGCACACTGTGAGATCATTACAGACCATTTCATCTAACTAACCTTTTACCAACTTTTAATTGATTTAAAACATATTGCAATAAACCAGCTAGGTCAAATTGATATTTTCTACATAATAATCCAGTAAATGAGGACAATGCTGAAAATGAAGAGGCAGGAAAAAAGTGTTTTAATCTATTGAAGTCATCTCTGGAAACATTTTTGATTATAAAACACGAAAATGTTCCTTTTCTTTTTTTGATAATCAATACACCCTAAATAATTGATCAATCTTTTCTTTTAAATAGGATAATAAGTCCTACTATTAATTTGTTGGTATGGTATAATAAACGTAGATTTCTATTGTACATTGAATGAATTTTTGAAAGTTGAAAAAAGAAAGAGAGAAAAACCACAAGTCCAATGAGCTATGATGATAACCAGTTGACAAAAAAGGATTTCTTTATAAAAAGAAAAATGCCTGTGAAATATGAAAATATAATAATCAAACAGAAGATATCCAAGGGTACACAAATTGAACTAAACGATCAATTAGGCAGACTGCTTTCTATCTAAACGAACAACAAAATACTACAAAATTAATTGCCTTTGGGAACAAATATACATAGAATGTATGGGCTACCTAAAATTCATAAACTCAACGTGCCCATGAGACCGATATTAGATATGTTTTACTCAGCGTATCATGGAATAGCAAGATGGCTGGCAGACATACTTAAACCACTGCAGCTAAAAGTGGCTAAGTATAGTTTGAAGGACACGTTTGAGATTGTAGAAAAATTTAGAGATAAGAAGATCAATTATGAAACAATGATCTCTCCCTGTGTTCACCAATGTCCCTTTATTAGAGACCACTGACTTATTCTGTGAATCTCTTATAGAAAATGGTATGGACATAAGTACACCACCTCGAACACTACGGGAAGTGCTACTCCGTTGTACGATGAATGTGCAGTTTTAGTTTAACAATGAATTGTACCGTCAAGTGGAGGGCGTAGCAATGGGCTCCCCTTTAGGTCCTTCCTTAGCCGACATGTTTTTGGCCAAATTAGATAATCGTCTACCCAAAAACGTAATCAACGAACTTTCTACTGTAGATATATGGACGATACTTTTATCTTGCATAATAGTAAAATCGATGCCGAGCTCCTCCTCCAAAAGTTCACTATGGCTCACCCACAAATTGTGTAATTGTCCTTGTGTACATAACTTATTACCTTTCAGTTCAACTTCTGCCGAGAAGTTTCAAACAAAATATCATTATTTACAATACAATCAACAGAATTAATCAGTACTTTGTACTTAGGTCAATAGATTAGTATGTGTGTGTGTGCCTAACAGAAGTATGCAATTGTAATTTTATTCCATTTAGAAAGTGTACCTATTGAAATGATAGGAGATGTGTAGTTCATGTTGATATTTCGTTTTTAGTATTGTTGATGTGTTTTTCTCTTTCGTTTATGAGCTCGATGGTTCAATTACGAAACTGTCATAGCCCTTTTCATGAATTAAATGTAGAACTAATCAATGATCTTTAGAAAGAAAAAAAGCATTCATAAGAAAACAGTTTTATTATCTAGTTAAATAAGAGGGATGCATACCTATACAGATAAGTAGACGAACACATTAAAATAGACAGAGTTGTGAGTTTCTATTATAATATAACTTTTTTAAACTATTTAGTGACATATAGGGCAGCTGACACCAATTTCACTTATCAAATGAAATTTCTCATCTCATAGAGTATCAGGTGTCCAATAAACTTATAAAATTCTAAATAATGTTGTTGTTTTTTACATTCATGACTTGACGCTGGGAATGGGGATAACATTAATTCAGTAATGCATTATCCTGATCCGTGATACGGTGGACAAGATTTGTAGTTCAGCTAGATGTTTCTAAGGCTGTTGAGTTCTGTAAGCTGAATGAATTGACTCCAGATCTGGAGTAAGTGCCGAAGATGTTGCCTAGAAAGACGGTGGAAGTTGCATATAATTGAATTATTCAGTCACCAGAACTACCTTGATCCTCGTAATATATTGGGTGGGGTGTTGTATGGAGCTGTTTCCCCATTATTTATTTGTGTTGAGACAGAATTCCTTTAAGTCAACAGTATGTGAAAAACTGCAAATAGATTGTGTCCTATTCATGTAATTTACGCTAAGGTACCAAACAAAGTTACAACGACGAATAAAAATCTCTAGGCAAAACATATATATATAGATATATGTAAACATAATGATTGAAAATAAACCTCAACTATCCAGTGGTTCTATTAGTAAACAGATAAAATAATGTTATCAGCATAAATCTATCAAAATTATTTTTAAGAAATCTTCAAGAGACAATGCTAAAAACAAGGTGTAAAGAAGTAAAACGGATAAAGATATAGAATGGCAATAACAATGGTAACATTAATAATAAGCATACCTTGCAGTTCTTGGCTAAACTGTAAATCCTCCAGTTTAGACTGGTCCGAAACAAGTGCTTCAATAATACAAACTGTAAAGTTCACAAAGAGAAATATTAAAAAGTTGGTAAAGAGCACTTTGCGAAAGAAATAATTGAATATATATATATATATCAGCTATTTTGTTTTCATCGATTCACTTTCAATGGAGTGAAATGTTCAGTATCTGTTGACGTGTTGGCACCTAGTACGGCTGCTTCAACGATGACCAAAGAATAACATGATATTTTGTGTCGGTCTGGCAGTGTCGACCCGGACGCACGTTTTGAACTGACAAAATACTCACGTAGATCGGACGAAAAATTATGCCCTTTACTTGAGTTTCTTGTCATATCACCCCCACTGACAACGGCAAAACAGATGAAATAGAATTTAAAGGAAGTAACTGATTACCGGTTGTCAGTTGACAATCTCCATAAACCATTTCACTGGTGTATCACGTGAAGGTTATAACTGATTTCAGTTAGAACAGACTTATTCGGTACATATTTTTCATGTACCAGGATATACTAACAGTCACACTTCCTGTGTTATTGCTAGTTGTCCGGGTTAGATCGGGTTGACCGAGACTCGAACTCAAGAACCATGGATGACTGCAAATCGAGTGTATAAGCTAAAGATTCACATCTCTGAAACTGTGTTTGATTGACTGGGGAAAGATAGCAAATTATTATACGCAAAGATCTTTCAGACACGCTTATCAAAACAAACCAATTACACACTCTTAGCGTACCATTAGATGCACCAGCATGAAAAAAACACGATGGAAACAAGGAGAAAAAGGGGGGAAACGAGGAAAAGCAAAGAAACAGGTGGGAGATAAAAGACAAGCAATGATTAAGAATTAACTAGAGAAAGCATCAACCCAGTCGCAAAACAAGTTAACCTAATAATGTATAGTGAAAGCAAACAGAGCTCTTCTGATAAACAGAGAAACAGATTGAGAGAATTACAAAAAGTAAATCATTTAGTGGAAAAATTTTAGTAAAAACCAAATTCTCACTTTATCACCAATCAACCATTCTACCGGTATTACTACTAGTTTCTATCATTCAACTAACTGTCAATCATCCTACCTAATATGGCATAACCCTTAATCTCTTCCCTTCCCCTCCACCTCAACTAGCCTCCTTCCCACTAAGTGCAATCCAACCCACTTCAGAATATCCAACTACCTTATTGCTCCTACCCATCTTATTCAAACATCAGAAGTTGTTCAAAATAAATAATATATTAAATAACATTATTTAAATCAAATAGGAAGAACAGAAAGAAAAAAAATAACATAATTAAATCACCAATAGTTATAAGGCCAAAAAACTATAAGAATATCCTTATTCTAAATTTTCTCATGAACAACTTACAAGTCAGCATATCATAGCCTAAACTGCTCACATACTTCAAGGCTTCAACGACTGGATTAATAAGATTGGTGAATAATTGCACTGTGTGCAAGACCTGAAGTCAAAATTTAAAAAAAAGCAAACAAATAAACCATATGTATTATTGATATAAGTATAAAACTTGAGCACTGTGGTACACCACAACTCCATTATGGATAAGATTTTATTTTGACCAATTACACAGTGTTGTACAGTAATATTTACCGATGACGTTTCGAGCACAAACTATCGCTCATAATCATATCAAGTTACTCACACAACTTTTTTTTTATCCTTCACATTCCCCAGTGGAACATAGGGCTTCAAGCTAGTGGCTTGAAGTTTCTGTAGCAGTGTTTATTTTACAGGATGGGGTTGCTAGCCTCATGCCCAACCTTTCCTATTTACCAGCATTATTTCTGGCTTATCGAGGTAAAGGAGTGCATCGGCCGGGGTTCGAACCCCAGATCATGAGCATGGTCGGCGAGCGTCCTAACCGCTACGCCACCGACACAACTTTTGCTTCATCTATATACATGAGTAAAAATTGATTAGACATTTGAATAAAAATCAATACAAGATAATATACATTCAGAAATAATAATATGAGTGTTATTGATTAAATACAACCAGATGGGAAATAAACCAATACACGAAGAGAAAATATATGAGCAATTGAATGAAGTGTGCCAACTTGAATTGCTGCACATTTTGAGCAAAATTCATTTCAGTCCACTTACTTTTTTTCACAATAAATAATGTTAAGATATGACTTATTGGCTGAAGTAATCAACATGCGGTCGATAGATGATAAGTGGCAATCCTGTTTCACTTACTTCAATGTGAGCAGTTGGGCAGTTATTCACCATCCCTAGCATAACAACAGCGTGACCCGCTGCCTGTTACATGAAATATTTTTTACAGGCAACTCATTTGAAGGTAACTAACTGAATATAACTGATATGAATTAAGTAAATCAATGGCACTAGAACAAATCCCAATGTTTGAAATAGAATAATAGAAATTTGAGAAAAAGCTTAAATTTTAAACGTATACATTTGTAAAAAAGTGCTACTCTGCAACCGATAGCTGCTACCATAAAGTAGCTGTGGGGCTCGCGTATAGCGAAGACCCAACAAGCTATACAGGCTCGAACAAGTACCCCTCCAGGTGCTATCATAGCAAAAAAATTGTTTGGATATCAGTTAGACTAAAAAGGAAGTACAATCATATTTGACACTATGTTGGGTGTCTGATGGAGAAGTCATACTGTTAGCGAAAAAGAGTTTCCCTCGGGCGACCAGCAAGTCAGATATACTATGGGGAGGGGTTTAGAAAACATCCACCTTGAAAAATGTACCTTCCAACTTATTTTCAGAAAGTATGTAGTCGGTGGTAAGATATTTATAAGGACACAAGTCTAAAAACCAACTGGAACAGATCATTTATAACCTGCCTGAAACAGTTATCTCCTGAGAATTACAGTTACTTGACACCAATGCTTTCTCCATTTCAGGTACTTTCAGATGAAATCAACTTCCACGGAATGGGCAGCTGTGAGGTAATAACCACCCATGTATACCCATAAATACACAGAGCTTTCGTGGGAAATAGCCAGTGATGACCATGATGTTAATTAAAAAGTTAGCAAAAGGAGTGTAATATAGCTGTGCTAGGTGACATTTTTTATGAAATAGACAGTTTTGTAACACTCCACATTAGCTAAATTTCACATCATGTTGTAGAACTAGTCCGTATAAACTCCTACTTCAAGTGAAGTGATCGATACCTGAAGCCACTGGCTAGTAGTGTTATTAAGATGTACAGAAAAGTATAAGCTAGCTGAGTAGGAATCTTGAGATTTTTTGGGACTTTTGGTGACAAAATTTAAAATCTTTCACAACAGAGCAGCTGCATTCACTCCACATATTCTGTTAGATTATCAATAACTACACTAGTCTTTACTGAATCTTTCCTACCTTATTTATGTATCCTTTTGTGTGTGTGTGTTATTTTGGAACACACCAACTTGAATGGAATGTACTTTCGTGACAGATATTGCGTTGTCATGTCCATCTGTTTGTATAGTAAGTTTTAAATCAAGTATGGTCGAAAATTAAGTAATTAGACATACAACCAAAAATATGCTTTCAAACAAGCTCAGTGAAACTCGGTTATCTCACACAGACCTTTTTATGTACTGTATGACAGTGAGCAACAAATTAAAGTATAAAGTTTTATTATACTATCCAAATGCCTGGTACAAACATAATACTTAGACTCTTCAAACAGAAACCTATTGTTGGAAAGATAGACAGTTGAACCAATGAACCACAACTGCGATCGATTGCTCGAAAGTACTTCACAGCTTACCACACCCCCACTCTGACAGTATAAAGTAAACCTAACAAATCACCTTATCCCAATTATAGATAAACTATGAATATAAATATCTAGACCATAGATAGATGTCGCACACAGGGAAACACTTTTGATTTTCTACACACATTGGGATTAGATTAAGTAATTTTATAAACTATGAATAGTTTACAAAACACACCCCAAAAAACAACCTATTTACAAGTCCCTATGATACAATTTCAGGCATGCAAATGTTAAAAATAAAAGTATAGACCTCCATGAAAACAAAGAAATACAGCAATTAGAAATACTGCTTATAAATAATTAGTTGTACATTTTAAGTTGGAAGAATTGAATGATCTTAATACAAAAAGAGATCATATTTCATAAATTTGATACTCTAAAGTGATAACGTTTCACATAGCTTAAAATATTATAACCAGAGGCGGAAAAAACAAAACCCTACGATCATGCATATATATATATATATATACGCAAATAAAAACTGTTCAACTCCTGCAAGAATAGGTCAGGAAAGTGCGCAGCAGTAATAAAAAAAATGAAAAGTAGGACCAGTAAGATCATTGTGATATATATATATATATATATATATATATATATATAGAGAGAGAGAGAGAGAGAGAGAGAGATACAGAGTCGGAATAATACTGTTATTTCATATTACCAAAACAACATTCAGTGGGACTGTAGACCATATAAACAAAAGACAGAAAAATATGCAAGAAGGAAAACGGGAAGGAAAGCGCAAGGACGGCAAGAAATATTATCTTCTGTAATATACAGAGACAAAATAATATAAACAACAATAACTTTAAAAAGAAGTTCAGTTCAGAACCAGTGTACAAGATGATTCTAATGCTGGAGGAAGTTAAACAATTAGTTTAAAAAAGACTAATTCAAAGCAATTGTTGATCGATCAATATAGTTACGCGGTGGAGTTAAAGAATAACAGCCACTAATCGAGAACCTTCACAAAATGATTTTGTGGCAACTACCAATCACCTTATTCACCATGAATATTGTGTGGAGATATTCATCCAATTGAGAGTTAAACGTAACTTTCCTATACCATTTCTTTAGGAGAAATTGGGAGATTTTCTTAAGATGCATAAATGAAGAATTCTCTCCTGCATAAATAAAACTTCTTATGAACTTTAAAATAGAATTGCTTAATAAAATAGACAATTGGAACATCACGTCGCCCCGACTGGAAGTCGCTTCGGCTTTACGTCATCTTAAGTTTTACACCTTTATACGCTTAATGCATAAACTTGACTTGTCTTCTTATCAAGAAGAAAGGAAAGGCGAAAAACTCCAACCAACGACAACAACAACTTACATGATCGAATAATAGGCCAGGATTACTGTGCGACAGTTTGCCAAGATGTCTACCCATTGGTTTAACATTCTCTTTGCTTAATCGCCTGAAATTTTTGAAGAATAAAAAATAAAAATGGTGGTAGAAATTGGAATAAATAAAGTATTATTCTCTGGAAAGTAAAAGAATACAACAGCGAATACTTCGCGCTGGGGATACACTTTTCGTGTATTTAAATGGCACAACATAAAGAGAGAGATTACTTTACGGATGCCTACATTTAAGTGGACGGCGATGGTGGGGGAAGAACGGTTCGAGAAATATAATATATCTAACCTTTTTAAAAGGTATACGATAAAATAGAATTGAGGTAGAAAATAAGTGTGCAATGGTGCGAACCATACTGTGATATGCTATTTAGATTCACCAAGACATATATAACGTCAACTAATGTTCCTTGTTAGCTAGATAGTTGTGATCTAAACATTGGACAGTTGTTTCGCTCGATTGGAGTAGAACTCATCAGTGATATACAAACACAGTTGGACTCAATTCAGAGAGCCACTGGTATTCAGATTTGCTAGTTGTGCGAACTAGTTGTACATTAGTCGTTTGTAAATTAAACAGTTCGAGGTGAAGACTCACTACAGTTTCCTTTGATAAGACAGAACATTCACATCACCACATATTACGTGGTGATATGATTCCTGAAATTAACACAAAATAGTCAGTAGTTCAACGGAAGATTACTGGCTAAAGACGCAGGTTTTCTGGAGTATGATTAGTGGCTGACACACTCTTAAGCCTCACCTAACTGATTGCGAAGCCGGAAAAGAAAGAAGGTTGAACTTGAGCCCAGCAACTCTATTCGGTAAAAGCCAAACAAGGATATTGGGAATACAATGCTCCAAGTTTGAAGCCTTATGTCCCACTAGGAACGCACAGGAATGAGAAAATAAATCAGTAGTTATAAAATTTACAGTGTTACGATAGTGAAAAGAATACAGCAGTAATATTTAACTCTCATTTTGCAATAACATCCATTTTCTAACAAAAGATGAAATATCTTAACAAAATATGCATAAATATTTCCTTCTGAAAAAAGAACTGCTTACTTCATAATAGCTTTGGCATAGCACAAAACCTGAGCACGTCTACGTATAAGGCTTGGCTCTGTTTGCGCACTAAAATGTTTCCATTGTCCATATAATCGATATCTTTACAAAAACAAAACAAGAAGTAAAAACATACATTTGTATGTACGTGATGTACAAATAGATGAAAACTAGTATAAAGAGGAAATTATGTGCCACTGGAGAAGAACGGTAAAACAAGAAGCTAAAAACTCTGTGAAAAACCTAATACCCCTAACAGACACCCACTGACGAACAAAATATGCTTAACACAGCATAGATGATATTTATTTACTATTTTCATCATAATATCTACTGTATACTTTCTCCCCCGATAAACATTAGACTTAACCCTAAATAGTCGCTTTATGCACGCACATAATATTAGACTGTGATATTGATATTCTGTTAGATTAAAAACAAAGTCTGCAAAACACCTCTAGATTGACTGAACTTTCAATTAAGGTCTACTCTTATACAAATGTAACACCCCATATAACACATGAAAGTAGAGGAAAAAAATTCAAAAACAACCATAATTAGCGAAAATGTAAGTGAGGAAGTATAAGTGCAGGGGGAAATATTAGGACTTAATAGATTCAAGTGATTACAAAGAGTGAATGCATCTTCAGCAATGAGAACGATTTTGAGCTAAATCACCAACATTCTCAAGCCATAGGGTTTTTAGCGTCTTCAGGACTCTAGTCAGGCAGTTTACACCTGTGTGACTTAAACCAACAGTCAAAGAGTTCATGGATTGATGGAAAGTTTTGATTGAACCAATTCTAAATCTTTTCCAGCTCAATCCTATTTCAGCTAGCACTGCTTGATGAGGAAAGCGACACACATCATAGATGTGATAAATATCTACTAACTTCAAGTGTTAATCATTTTAGCATATAGCAATGATACAACGAACATTACTAGTCTACATAACGGTTCCTGGAAGTCCTGTCGTACTAGAGAGGTTCAGTGGTTATCCAACAAACCTAATGCGATTACTGTGCTAGTGTGAGTGGCTTCCATTACGGCATGAGGCGAATTTGTATTGTAGAATACTAGCCAAATATTTACTTCGGATAACCAACTTCATTATCTTCGCATTCTGAGGAGGGCGAACTGAGAAAAAAATGATCATCGTACAAGTCTAGCAGCTTAGATATGTATGTCTGCTCTTTCCTGCACAGTGAACAACAAATCAAGGTATTAGAAAGGCAGTGATCAGAAAGTTGCGCTGCACAGACGGTCATTTTCACCAGCGGTACAATTTACACTTTCACTATGTCTTGTATCACAATGAACAATGGAAATCGTCCAGTATTCTCATCGATTTAATATTTGGTGATGAATATTTCTTTCACAGGCTAAGTGATACGTCAAGCATCTAATGAATTAATTTATCACGTTTTGCCCTCAGGTATATTATACATTAGCGTTTGTTTTAAATTAGTAGAAAGTGTTTGTAAAATATATGCCATACAAAAACACTAGGAATATATTTTCAACCATGACTCAAAATCTAAAATTGATAATGTTCATTCACAGAACAATCAAAAGAGACGTAACGAACTTTAGTTCCTTTCTGTAGTTTCCATCCCCTATTAAACTTATATTCTGTTGACTATAAATACATTAGTATGTCACTCAGTTGTCTATTTGCATTTTATCTTATGTTCTGAATGTCTGTACGTTTTAAATACGTTAGATTGACAATATTGCCTAACAAACTGCCATTCCACCTTAAACATGTACCCCAATACAGTTTCTGATATAATTTTCACTTGCTTTTACTGACAATTTGTAGTCTAATATTCATGGATTTATAACTGTAAAGTCTGAGGAAGAAGTTATCGAAAACAATTGTTCGCTCAAAACCATCTTGTTCTAGTGAATAACTCGAGTCTGTCATCCTCTCAAAAGAAAAATGTTAACGACAGCTAACACCAACTAGTAGGAGAAACATGTACGGTGTGTTATGGTTGAAATCAATACGAAAATCATGGTTGAATCATTACGGATTCAAACTAGTGGTTTAAACAATGTTAAATCAAATCGCTTATATACAAACTTCGTCATATAAAATGACACGAGAGGTGGGGCGGATGAGGTAAACCTACCTATGTTCATACGGCATAAATCGTAGCATTTGCCATATCTCTTCAGCTAGACAACAATTTGCATCGACCAGACTTAACGATGGAAGGAGAACTTCATCTAACAAATTGAAAAATCCTTGGTAAACAATTCCAATTTTTTCTGATTGAGAATTATGCTGCATTGAAAATACAATGGTAATAATAATATAATAGTCTCGAATTAAGTAGTGAAAATAATAATATTTGAAATTCCCATAAACAATGCAGAGATGATAATTTCAAAATAAGGTGACTTTATAAGGCGGAAATATCTAGATTAGTGAACTATAGTTCAAGAGGTGATAAAATACTTCGACGAGTATGGAACAAATGAATGTTCACTATGAGTTGGAAACCTTCATCGACCGTCGATGATTGAAGCCACCTTATACACATGCTTTCGTACCATCTGAATCAAGATGTTATGTTATTAGAAAGCGTTTAGACTAATACATGAAGTGATTGACTGCTGATTCGATCTGTTAAGATTGCTATTACTATCGTCAGTGTTATAACAAAAACATATGTTAGACGACAACAAATAATATGCTTCGGATTGCGTCATCTCTTTCACTCTTTCGTCGCACGGAATTCTATGACTTCTCATTGAACAACTTTCATTTTAATACCTTCTTTTATATTACTCTTGATTTGATGTGCAGACGTGTACGGTAACACTCAGAAGCAATATTACAATGCTCATAATTTATTTGCCACTCAAACCAGTGTCACAGTTTCTCATCACTCTACCGCCGACCTACCTTGTATCTAAACAAAATACTGACAAACACAGAAAATCCAACGTATAACACACAATAAAGAATCATATCACTCAAAGGAAACAAACTTCCTCCATTGACAAATAATCTGTGTTACCACAAATGGTCGTAAACCACTACCATTAAACCAGCAGACAGCAATCTGCACAACTGCATTTTGCTTAGAACAACAGTTATGAAGTAACGGGAAGTTTCTGTTCTTTAAATGCTTCACCTTCTGTACCTACCTTTTGGAATAATTTTCCGTCAGAAATCCCTATGGACCTCATTCCTAACGAAACCTATACGACACCAATTACTAGCATTCCCTTCAGATCAGTAATGGAACATAGGGCTTCAGCAATACAGCTCGATTTCACTCTATTCTCAACAGTCTTTTTTAGCTGGTTACATATTTGCCCATAAGCATTCACTTCCTCCTCATATGGTCTCCTCCATGTCACCCTCAGACACTAATCAAGGTTTCATATAACACCGTTATAGATTTCGCATAATTTTTTGAAACCCATCCAACAGAATTCATGCAAAGTATGAGAGTCGTCATGCTTACAACTGTTGGTGGCCTTAAAGAAAGCATTACTATAATTCACAGGTAGTTGATAAGTAAAAAGTCAAAGCCTGTCAGTCAAGAAACTGAATACACAAATGCAAATCATCACTACCTATAAGTGGTAATAAAGTAGATTCTACACATTGAAAATTACCTGTTCTGAGAGATAAATATGCCCAAGACGACAAAATTTCACCATCAATACTAAATCGTAGGACATATGTGGGCCTAAATAAACTGCAATCGGTATCACATATCTAGCTAGTCCAATGAAATCATGAACTTGTGATAAAAGTTTATTATTAGAACTGGTATTATTGGTTTCAGGATTCAATTCTTCATCCATTTCACAGTCGGCTGATTTTTCATCAATATTATTAGGTGTAGTACGTGTATTCACTGCTTTAAAAGATTCAGTTGTCGGTCGTGAACGGTTTCTTTGTAAACATGCAGGTAACGGACAAACTCTATAATTCAAAAAGGACAAAACAAAAGAATAACATTATGTTATTCATACATGATAATTAATATGTAAAAGTCAGTAGTCAACCGCATGCACATTTCATGCATTCGATAAGTATCAACAAGGCATGTATTCCTTGAATCTCGGAGAGTAAGACCGATTTACTACGCCACCAACTTTTAATTAAGTGATATCGATTCAAAATAAATGAGTACTACACATTGATTAGTGACTAGGGTGTAACTAATGTCATGTGTCCAGTCTTTAATGGCTTTAAGTGAATTCCACCAGTCATTTTTGTAATGTAGTCATGCAACCAGGTGACTCATCATCGCGGTGAACCCAGAAATATCAGACTGGTCATCTGGCACTGGGTGGGGGGACATAGGTACCCTTGAGGATGCATGTACGAGTGCCAATAGTCACGAAACTTAGTTTCAGAAATGTCTGCCGACTATCTCAAACGCCTTAATAAATGAACAGTGTTCCTACACTACACGGGCACAACAATCGTTATGTCAAGTATAAGATGTGCTGAACAATCCAGTTTTTACAACAAACAAGACTTTGATTCGGTTATCGAAAACGCTTCACTTAGCTATTCGCCCCTCAATGTTATTCGACATAGTTTGCAACGACTAATTACTGAATTGCATCCATTTTCAAGAAAAAAACATCGTTAATACTTCACAATCCTTCCATTAGGCGGCAGTCAGCGCTAGGTATCTTATAGTCACTAAACCCCAGAGATATATACCGGTCAAAGACCAGGCAACATAAAGAAATGGTTATTCAGTGAAAATAATACATCTTTGTAAGAAATAAATTACTGTCTGAAAAGCTCAGAGTTATTCGTAACGCATGTAATGTATGCATGTGCCAGTCCCTGAAATGGCATTTAATTGTATTTTAGGCATATGCTATTAAAGACAACGAATGAGAGGGTAAGCCAGGTACGTGAGGCGTAAAACTCAGACCAAATACCTCTCTCTCTCACCCACACATACAGTAGCCTAAAAAGCAGATTGAATAATTTATTTATTCCCAATGATCGAGTGCATAATACAAACCACATCTACCGGGAGTATCTTGATGAAGACTTCTCGGAAGATTGTTTCAGGATGTATCTAAAATAAATACCCCTTTCATTACGGTTAGAGAGGAAAGCGTGTGCTACCGGCTCACTTCATGCTTTTCACTAAAATTGCGTAGTAAATTTCTATATAACACATAATTTTCTTGATTCGCACAATATGCGCCTGTTAAGTGTTTTGATAACAGTTTCCAACCCCCCTGACAATCATAAACAACAAAATAAATTGCACTTATTTGGTTGCTGCCAAAGATGACAGATTAATGTCTACCTGAAATTTCCCGTGTAGAGGGGGAAAACCAAAAACAAACAAACAATGACAAAAAAACAAGACAAGTCAAATTTGCACTAAAACACATTGAGTTTCGCGGTTAGTAAGAATGAGATCACCATCCTAAACTGAAATGCTGTTTTTGTTAGCCATAGTGGGACTCTTCAACTATGCTGAATGAACTAAATCACATGGATGATGATCAATTAATGCGGGGCAGTCTTCTATGCAAGAAGAATGATCTACTGTAATTAAATCATGTCAGTTTACTGAAAATCCTAACATATGTCAACTGAGGTGTATTCTTTATTAATGAAAGTAAGTAAGTCATTTGCATACACTAAAAGCAAATTAATCAATTTTGTTTTTCCTGTTGGTTATATCCAGTTGAAGAGTCCAAATAGGACATAATACGCAACTTAAATTCCACTACTAGTCCACCGTTCACCAAATAAAATAATCAAAAAATCAGAAAACAAAAAATCAGTACTCCTTACTTATCGTATAAAGGTTCTATTAAACAATGCAATAAACTGCATATATCCTTTGTTAAAGGCTCATAACTAGATGCCCAGTAGCCAGGTAGACGATCCAGTAGGCGTTGAGCATTCGTCCAATCACCTAGTCGTATCAAAGCAGAGCATAGCTCCAATTTTTGATTATTTTCATACTGTGTAGCGGAAGTAAGAAGTTAAAAAAAAACATTTCAAGTCTAAATAAGGGTATAGCACACACGTCTAAATAACAAGGAATACATTGTATATATTTAAAATCATGTACATAATAAATTCAGTAATACATAATAAACTAATGTGGGATTGTAGGCATATACATAGAAACAAACACACCAATGAACACAGAACCACAGAAATAAGTCAATTCAAATGTTCCAAACATTGCAGAAAAGAAATAGGCATAAATAGAAATTAGAAGAAAAACTCTCAAGGTACGATCAATGCAATTGTTCAAATCGTTGTAGTAGTTTTATTCGGCTCTTTGGGAACGACCTCATTCCCCGTTTGTCAATGAGTCATCTTTAATGTCATGTCTGAAGAACACAGCCCCTGTCAATGGACAACCAAACATTCATAATCATAGCCAAAACATTATCATTATTATTAGTTGATAAATGCATTCTCAGTGAAACGTAAAACCTTGGCAGCATACCTCCATTCTACTCAGCTAGTTGTGATAGCCGGTTGTATGCCTGGAAAAGAAGGAAGGTTGGGTGTGGAAATATCAACTCCAATGAGTAAAATAGACCCCCCCCCCACCGCCATTGTAACAGAAACTTAAGAGCACAGGAAGAAACGAGTTGATTCTTCATCGAAATCGGGATGAATTTTCAATTTTAGAACGTATGAGGCCAGCTGATGAAAGTCTTCGGGAAGCCAGTCGATAGATGCTTTTTTCGACGGAAGAAAAGTAACTATGAATACAAGAAATGTCCACGCCATGTTTGAAGCTGATAAGACTGTTGAGATTGCAGTATAAATTAGAAGATATGGTGAAGATGTGTTGGGACACTAGTCATTAAATTGGTATTTGAAATTTTACAGATGATAAAAACTTATTACATTTACGTATGTGTATCAGAGTGCAAACACACATGAAGTCATATGATACTACTGAAATAAAAGGTAGCAGGAATTCATGAATTTTCTCTAAAAAAAACTCACTAAACAATCTTGATCTCCACTAATATCCACATTATCACCAACTTCACGTGGATTTGTCATGTTCCCATCCATATTATCATCGACTGACATTAATTCATCTGCAGCGCGTGAATTCAAGTTGTTTGTAGCTGCAGACCCAGTCCAATTGTTCACTAATCCCGGATTACCGCCACCGCCATTCCCACTACCGAGTTGACTGTCTTGACTCAATAAACCTAAACACAAAATGATTTCTTTTTACATGGAATTGTTCCGTTAATTACCATCAACACGTATTAAGTCATTATTGATAGCAGTATTTAACGAGGTGTTTATCGCAGATGTCGCCGAATACGTAAGGCTTGGTGGAGGTTGTGGTCGATATGATTTAGCCAAAGTTATCTGTCGATTGTAGGATTGTTGTATATCAGTATCGGATGGAGTTAACTAGAACGAAACAAAAAGATAGGAATGAAATTAAAAAGAAAATTGAAAATGAGCACTGTCAAATTTATGGTAATATTGTCAATAGTGATTAAATTACAAAAAATGCACGTATAGATAACCCCCCCCCTAGTGATGACAACTGAATTAAAAGTGTCATTACAGTGTCACTAGAGAACAAAGAGTGATAATTATAATGCGTACAAGAGAGATATACTAGCTACCAGACTAAATGGGAAACATGAAGAAAAATTACACTGACAACGTATCATAGAGATTTGAACTAATCAAATTGAGGTAAAAGAGAATAAAGTAGCTATCCATTTATACACATCATATTACACAAAAAGAAGCATACCATATAAATTTAATTTCGGTGGCTAGAATATGCAATGTGCATTTCGAGTAATCTGCTATACCTTAGTCGTCATGTTGATCAGATCAAGAGACAGTACGAAGTTAAGGTGTTTTTGAAAATTAGTCTGACTGAACTGTATAGGTAACTCCTGTTTCAAAATCTCCAGACTTATCTGTTTTCTTTGTTCACATATTTATATTGGTTAATTGTAATATCATTCTATATTTCTTCCACATTAGTTTGTTTATTAGATATATCACACAGTGAAACAGTATTATTTACTGGATGACCACGTTCCGAACACTATTTATTGCTCATAATCATATCATATCTATATTTCTTTTCATAGAGTGACAACTTCAGCTGCTGTGTGCTGATATATCTACCTATTTAGCTGATTTATACGAAATAATAACACGAGGATAAGCATTCTGTATAATTCTTAGTGTTGCTTTGATAAGGTGATGATGAGATCAACCATTACGTATTTTAACAAGTGAGCAGTGAGTCAGTGATTAGAAAATCAAAATTTTTAACCACTTTTTCATGGAGTCACTACATGAACAACTACACACCACATTTTCCATAGTTTTCATACAATCAGTATAATTTAAAACAATACGAAAACAATGTGACTGTATTACTGTGTGAAAAGAGATAATGAATGTGCTTAAATGATTTCCAAAGATTAAAAATTTTACCAGTAGGCTAGATGCTAAGTAACTTTTAAAAATTATCAATTAGTTCAAATAAATGAAAAAAATGTTGGGCATATACTACTTATTGATATGAGTAGATAAGTATTACTATCGCATCTAAACACTGGACGATAGTTTCACCTATTTGAAACCGAACCATCATCCATCAGCGATGTAGCCGGGTACACAAAGCTCACTACTCTTCTCAAGGCAGACGAATCAGTACATAACACACACGAATAGTGATTATAAATAGCAGGATACAACATAAGACTAGACAATAAATGAAGAATGAATGAAGTCTATGACGAGCACAGCATCACTTATTAATGACACTTATACACATGAACAAACCACTCTTAAATTTCAGTAGTTTTTGGTTAATAAAACAGATTTTTCTATTTATTTGTTTACTACTTATTAAATAATAATCATAATAACAATAGCATATATACGCATAAAATATTAGCGGAGAATATATCAGATTTAAGAGAATGGCAATATTATGGTAAGGAACAAATCAGCCTGCTTCTTCTACTTTATTACATTACTAACAAGAAAACTTTTTCTCAAAAAAAAAAAAGAACAATCAATTTATTCACGTTAATAAAAAAAACATCAACTTCCAACGCCCTTTTTGTGTAGAATAGAAATAAATATACTAAGAAAATGAGAGGAATATCAGAATCACCGTAGGTGTAGTAGCAATAATAATAATAATAACAATGAGAATAACAATAACAACAACAACAACCAAGGGAAGAGAAATTGAACAGATCATCAATTTTAAATAGATCTTTTAAAACAGGAAAAAGATTAGTAATAATGATAGTAGTAATAACAACAATCAGAAGAAGAAGGCTACATAAGGTGAAATTATAATCATTCTTATTCAGTTATTGGGGCTCAACCAACTTCTGCATATAGCATGATTGGCATGATTGATTAAAGAAGAATAGAGAAAAAGATTAATTAGCATAATTATCAACGTTGTTGTTATTATAATTCATCTGTCCTACTGATAATTGATCATTAAAAGATATTGTCATATTTAAGCCACTTCCCTCCACTAATACCTTAGGCAAAAGTGATATCCACCTCTCCTATAACAGAAGCATCTACAACATCTTCAGATTTTTATATCAGATGGATTTCACTATTTATGATGATGCAGCGGGACTGGTTTACACCATCATAGCTAATCTGTTATATACAGATGATTGATCATTACAGAAAAGGATTGTCATACTTTAAGCCATTTTCATTAATGTCATCTTTTTTTACAACACCAGATTCTACAATATCTTGAGATACTATAACAGATGCGCTTCGCTATAAAGGATGATTATGCAATAGGATTGATTTTTCATCAACTCTATTGTTTTTAAGGTCAATGGGTGAATTGATCAAAACGAATTGACCAGTTTCACTTTTTTGGGAGCCTGTATAATCACCAATGTATGGATTGATTGATCGTCAGCAATTCATTTGGCTTAGCACTGAACAATATTTTGTACCGACAAGATGATAACTGAATGGCGGCAAAAATGACTCAGCATCATTTTGGCACCCCTTACAAATTTTAAAGCGATAATATGCTATATGAAGGTGGAATACATGAGAAGTCAAAGTATGCTTTGACTACAGGTGCAGTCACTAGCATGAATTTGAGAATATGATGACTCCAGGTGTCAAGTGAAATGATGCAATCATTAAACTCCTTAGATTTAAGTGGCTCGGATACGTTTCATGAGTGCTGAATAACCATCTTCATAAAGAATAAATATAAGCTTAAACAAGACTAGATTGCCAACAAAAAAGTTGGACGTTGTTACCAAATAACGCCAAATGAATAAATGTGTCAGTATAATCCATGAGATATTATTAATAAAAATTCACATGATTTCTTTATAGTTAGAAGTTCCTCTTTCATGCTTTTTACCTGTATTCCTAAATGACACGTCGGATAACTATTACGAAACTCACTATAAATAAACTAAACGAGATTACTTAACACTTCATTTTTATTATCATATTTAGAATGCAAATGTACAATAATTTTGCTTTATCTACGGTGGATGCACACCACCAAGGATAAAGGATTAAATGGATTCTAGCTGCATGACTGGTATTATCAATAAGGAAGTCAACTGGTAACGCCTCCGGATGATGTCGACTTCTTAAAAATTTACTTCTATTACTCTAGATCTGTTAATCCCCATTAATAGCGGTAGCTGTCAAAAACTGTTTCGAGTTCAAGATCTATTGGGGTGAGGTGTGAGGAGGTGAAGGAAGTATGATATTAGAGGAAAAACGAAACAACACGTCACACTGTTACATATTTAGAATCTATCAGAATCACTGGTTAAACAATCACAACATGCCAATGTACAGAGAATGGTGATTACTTTATAGAATAAATAAATACGATTGGCTAATTATTTTCTCCCTAAAGTGAATAAGAACTGCATGACAATGTACCACCCACAATGATTATGCTTTCCCCTCCCCCCCCTTTCACTCATTCCCAGTGTTTCTCGTTGGCTAAAAATTTTTCCCAATTCTTATTCACAGAATTCATTTAATGTTTGTATGTGTGCATTTGGTTAAATGCATATACTAAGTAGATGAAGCATACAACAAATGCGTGTATACAAAAGCGTGCGTGTTTGTGTTAGTTTGACTGAGAGGAAAATGTATTACTATAGGTTAAAGCAATGAACAATACGCCTCTGAAACGTGAATATGAAAATAAGACGACAATTAAAATGGATACAGTTAAGTCAGTATATAGCTGCTAGAATTATCGTGTGACAAAAGTTGATTCCATTTAAGGAATTCACTCATGACTATTACTTATGTTAGCATATTATAATTAACCGGAATATTAGTAGTATGCATCGATAGTTGTGGAATATAACAGAATGGAAAACTACGATATGATAACTCCTCCGCCTACACACAACATAGCTGATGATAACAAAATGATTCATCACAGTATCAGTCCGTTCGTCATATCATCGTTATCCTCGTCTTCATCACAATCACCATTACCATTTTCTTCAGCCTACCCAACAATCGATAAACCAATGCAACAGTCAATGTCAGTAGCACCAAAATGGCAATATATCCTATTATATATTATACCATTTGGCACATTGTGGGGAAATATATTTGTTTGTTTAGCTGTTTACCTGGAGCGACGATTACGTCATCGTTTCAATTTATTTCTCGTGTCTTTAGCTACTAGTGACTTATTATGCGCATTATTAGTCATGCCAGTATCTGCATGGAATATGATTATGGGTAGGTGAATCGTATTTTTGATCAGTCATGCAATCAATTATTATAATCTTACATAAGGCTCTTATATATATATATATAAACCTGACAACCTTGACATTTCGCCAAGTTTGAAATTCTTGATACTTTCAGTTGACCAGGATAAGCTGACTAACCTTAGGAGAATAGAACGGAGTAATTATCCTTCAGTTTAGTTAGACATATTCATTTATTAAAGAACAATTTACATACTACACATGATAACTGATGTGTTTATTCTTGGTCTCCAACACAAGTGTAATATTCGTAAACACCGAAATCATAATTTAGCTAACAACGAGTATTAAGAGGTAAACATATAACTCAGTAAATGAACATTCCCGGAGAATAATAACCTGGAAATAATTTATTTAAACCATATCTGTTAAAACGTTATGCTACATTTCATTTCTACTTATTAGTATAGGGCGGTTAGTTAGAGCTCGGTTATCTGAAAAAGTTACTTAGGTTGAAGTGGAACGAGATTCGATGCATAGACCATCTGAATGAACGTCAACTGCTTAAGCCATTCAGAAACTGCTTTCTAACTAGGAAGCCTAAGATTCATGCCAATTCATTTTCGCACTATTTAAATCTGAGCAACTAACTAGTAACACAAATCCTCATATATCACATACACATAAATGGCATCATTAACGTTTCTCCATCGTTTTTATTTGAAGAAAAGACATTAAAATAGACTGGATTTTTAACGAAGAAATTTACCCATAAATGGATCATTTCAAGTTGCTACACTTCATAAAACACACATATAGGTAGAGGGTAAACAAAACATGCGAAGAAACTGTAATAAACAGAAATTAAGTGGGGAGAGAATGAGTAAGTGTAGAATGAGAATTTGATTGATCTAGGAGTTCATAACGAGTGAATGCATCTATACCACCCATAACAACTACAATGTTGAGCCACTTTACAAACAGTCTCCAACTAATGGTTCTTAGAATCTTGAGAACCTGGATTGGGTAGTTTACACTTTCTCATGTGACTCACCAAACCAACCAACAAAGACTACGTAGACTGACCGCCTCTAACGACTTTCCCAACCTAATCCTAAGTGGTATGTTACTGCTCGATGAAGAAGGCGAAGATTCGGCATGCGTTTCCTAGTTATCTCAATCGATGCAGCTTTACAACCTCGTCGATTAACTTTCCCTACATTTATATAACACTCTACGCCTAGCCTCATCAATATTACTAACCATATTATATGTGAAAAAAAATTAGTGCAAAACAGAGATATAAACAGTTAAAACACTTTTTAAAAATTAATCGAATAGTATTAATAAACAAGAATTTTTATTACCCTAAAGTTTTAAAATGTAATTATCAATGAGAGAAGAGTGGAGATTTCCACTTTGAATAAAGATGAAACACTTAGACGAAAATCGATTCGAAAGTAAACGTGAACACACTTTTAAGTGTCAGAAATAAGTGAATAAATAGCAGAAATGAGTTAACTTGAATATAAACCCTCTAAAGGGGATAAATAAATTTTGCAGAATTATACTATGCTTTATCCTCTTCTCTTGCTTTTTATCAAAAAAAAGCCGAACTTGTCAATCACTTCTCCTATTGAATTGTTTATTCTCTTTTACTTTTCAAAGAATCCGATCCACTCACTTCAACTAACACATACAGACACGCACATACAAGCTTTTTTGTTGAATTGAAAACAATAATATAATAGTGATGGTCATGCATGTGTGTATGTGTGTTGAGGCATTCAAAACAACGGACAACAATAGGTTTTCCTAAAACTACCTAGTATTTGAAAGTACACATTTTCAAGTGATGCACAATATTTCGATGCAGTACTGATGATAGTTACTAGCCACTTTGTAAATAACTCTGAACGAATTGATCTAACCAGTGATCATCTACAATCTCAAGCACTTTGAGGCATCATTGAAAAATAAGCTTCACTGCACTTTACAAAAATGTTGTGATTGGTCTCTTTTCTTCCCATACTATATATATACAATAAATTGAAATTTCTCAGTTAACTTATGGTAGCATTTTACTCAACAACCGTACATGCATTCCCATGCATTCAGCAGTTAGCTATATATATTGTGCATGTAAGGCGGCTAATGATATACTTTACCTGGCTCTGCTATAACTATGACTCAATGGTTAAAAGTTGAACAACTTGACCAGGGAGTCACAGCTTCATTCAATTTACCTCATACTTAATTCACTGTTATCTGCGATTCAGTTAGGAAAAAGGAACTATATGTCTTTTCTTGCTTCAGAAATTTTCCATTGTCATACAAAGAAATCGTAATATTAATTTAAAATAAAAGTTACTTATGCATGGACCTTGTATTTTTATCAGTCTTCAATACAAATGTATAATTTTGATAATAATAACAATGCGGTGGTTGATGACTGAAGGTGAAATGATCATTCGCGTCGTGACAGGATACGAAATGGCAGTCTCCGAATTACTAGTCAAGTTCTCTATCAACTGGGTCCCATAACTCAGTGACCAAAATGATCATTTCACCTTCAGTTATCACCCAGTCTGTTAATCCACTAACAGTATCCTCAAGTAGTTGGCATGATTAACGTGATTTCCTTTTCTTGAATGGTCATGTAATTAAGAATAAGATAAACGAATACGTTCAGTGACTAATGAAAGAAATGATTATATAGCTAATTAAATTAATAAAAATGGATGTGAATCAAGGCGAAATACACTGATCACCATCACTAACTGTAGGCACACACAAATCCAGTTGACTATATATATATATATATATATATATCATCATGTCGGTTAACTTTCTCTGAAGAGTAATATGTGTGTGGTGTAAGTTTGAGTCGTATTTCTTTTAGAGCCGTTTGGCAGTAGAATGATATGGTGAATTTGTCATATTCAAGATTATATTTCTTTTGTCAAGATTTGACCAACTTTCGCACAAATATAAATTCAAGGCTTAAACAAGGTATTCATCAAAAACTACTATAGGGGAAAAAAGAGAAAAACACATTATGTCATCAAATGATCACAACACATGCCGATTGGAAACATAAAAGGCGATGGTAATAATTCATAATGAGAAAAAAAACTGAAATGTGAAGGCGTGTCAAACCATTATTTGTGTTTTTCTTTTTTTACCGAGGGGCGTTTTAAACAAAACCACGATTCATTATATTCATCTACTTATCCATTTTGGTAATACATAAATCATGAGTAATTGTTGTGCAAACAACAAACAGAAATTTGAAGCAGAGATTTCAGCGTTTGAAAGTAGTTCAACAAAAAAGCAGCAGAAAAACGTTAGAAAAGTATAATGATGTATTAGAGCAATAAAATTGAAGGAAAATAATACAACCCGATAGAGGTTATCATTAGAGGCATTGATTCATCTGTGAAATACAGTTTGCGTGTAATAGTTTATGACGGCGTGCTTATTTGGCGCCAATGGACAAAAAGCAGTCAGTAAAGTGGTATTACATAATCTACTATATCTACATTTCCAAATGCATTAAAATACAATTATTCTATAGGCAGTGAAAGACGCAAGTAGCATCATCAAATGTTTATAGGTTAACAACCAGGAAATTGGACTGAAACGAGTGAATTGAGATTCAAACCTGTATAATCAATCCACTGGTCAACAAAAATAAAGTGTCAGTGACTAATTGTCCTACTTTTCACAGCTTTCATTTGATGCTACAATAATCAATACTACAGCAGACCAAAGGATCTATTGAACAATGGAAAATGTAATTTATTAGGTATTAGAATGGTAAGAACGCAATTACCTACTAGATCTAGTTATTCCACCTTCCAAACTGTGAGCCACATACTTATTGTGAGTGCGTCTAGTACTAACCCCAGTTCAACAAACTAAATTAGACAGAGTAAAATTACAGCCCAGGACGACGCACTGCTTGATCCATGACATCTAAACCCAATAAGCAGGTGAAGATAACTAAATGCTAATATATATTAATCATACTATTCAGTGTATCTGTGGACTAATAATGGTAGAATGGAGAGATGAAGTGTAGCATTTCGACTTAAAAAATAGTCTCGGCAACCTTCGAATTAATAGATGAAATACAGTGACAAAACGACTTAGTTGAACACGTACGTTTGATTTCTGCAATAAAAAGTTGACATATTGCAACGATTAACTAAGCATGACTGAAGGAAGCCTGGGACATTGTATATAGTCAAAAATTAAACACTAATTTATGAAAACTCAAGAATGCTTAGAATACTGTATGCTAATTCACCTGTGAGACTGCAAATATCTACTGAAAAACAGGAATATTTAAATAGTGTCAGATACATGTTTATTTAGGTATTAGGTGGTTGGAGACAATCAGCAAGAAACGCTGAACCTAGGTATCGTGTTCGTTCGCACCCGTCAGCAAGGTGAATCTACAAACTCAAAAGAAATGTTCTTTTGAAGATTCCGAACTCTTATCACACAGTATGATAGACACAGACGTTGCTACTGAGGGTGCACAGTTAACTTGAAGGACTGCAATGCATATACTGATTTATCCCTCTACAGTAACCAATGTAGCGATCATTTTGTCATCCTCTAAATCGCCAAAAATCAATCTCCTTTTACTTAAGAAGTTGGTTTAGTGGAGGAAAATACGAAAAATTAGACTAGATTCTCTGTTAACGAATATACAAATTTATTTCCTGATATACAGTGAATAATTTCTTGTTTAACAAATAAGTATGCGACTATGCTGTTGTTTTTTTTATAGCTTACTTAATCAATCAGGTAATTTAACCATCTTTTCTCTTTTTCTTTTCGATACATAGGTCAAAACACCAGTGATCTAGCCCTATGCCTTGTTTGGTATAGTCTAGATATTTTCTTCACAGCAACAACAATTATACACATGTGTAATATATCACTGGATAGATATTTAGCATTAAGACAACCATTCGGCACAGTTCGAACACAAACACGTCATCCATTAAATAGTCTTAGTGTACGTATAACGCTATCCTGGTTAATACCATTCTCCATAGCTGGACCATTATTTCTATATGCATTAATGAGACAAAAAGACAGTGAAATAGACGATAAGAGTAAACCTCGTGCCATAGCACTGACGACGACAACAACAGAAGCAACAGCTACTTCTACTGCCATTATTACTTACAATAATGACATAATGAATACTTCCCATGATTATTTTTCGGCAACAAAGACAAGTTCAACAATGACAATAGAAGATTATTTTCATTCAACTGAAGCTTCCTATAAAGGTTGTGGACCGAATGATCCAGCTTTTGCGTTGACAGCTATTTTTATAACATTTATCTTGCCACTAATTATAATGATAGTCACCTACGTACTCACTGTACACACTCTACGTAAACATATGAAACAGATTCAAGCAGTTCAGTTGTACGCTGCGACAAATAAACATTTCACTGATTCCAACAGACTAACAGCATCGACAACTTCCAAGATTATAAATCAAAATGCAACTAATAACAACAGCGACTGTTGTAATAATAATAATAATAACGATAATTCTTCTGGACCACTAAAACTATCTAGTAACAATAACAATGACAGCATAAAATTACAACGAAATGAGAAGGATACTACTAATTACTCTTGCAGTAGTACAAAGCTACACGATACAAATTTATTACCTGATTCTGCCAATATCTCATCAAAATCCACAATTCCTGAACAGAATATAACTGAAATTGACATGACTGAGACAAAGGCATTAAAATGTAAACAATCGCCGGGTAGTAAAACCCACTGGAAGTTGACTAGACCAAACTACACACACACAAAACAACGACGTCGACACTACCACCAACAACAACAGACAATAAGTCAAACACCTGAAACAACTATGGTAACATTTACACAAACTGAAGAGCCCAGTTTTAACACAAGTTCACAAAGTTTCTGTGATAGTGTACTAATTAAAACTAATAATATTAATACCGATAGTAATAATTTTGATATGACATTTGACATAAAAGACGAATTATTGGGTAAAAAAAATGGAGAATCAACACCGCCTTATATTGCATGTAATAATAATGTCACTATAAACAATAACGGCAGTAGTAGTATGAAAATTCGTTACAATACTCGACAAAGCTCAACAACATCAAATCGTTACAGCTTAGATCGCATACATAGTGCTAAACGTGCTGTTCGTGTTATCGGTGTACTATTTAGCATATTTTTAATTTGCTATCTACCATTCTTTATTGTTTATTTTATTGATGTATTGTGTACTACCTGTAATCACTGTACAGGACCAGCTATGGCTCATTTGGAATGGTTAGGCTATCTTAGTTCTATGCTAAATCCATTTGTATATCATGCATTTAATCCAACATTTCGTAGAACATTTCGAAGAATGCTTAGATGTGCATGTTTCTGTCCAGATAGACGAAGAAATGAATATTATGCCAATTGGAGGAGAAAAATTAAACTATAAACGAAATAATGTGCAAATATACATATATCTTCTTTGTTCGTATGACTGCTAATTTCATTACACGTCAGGACATCAGAATTATATGTACACTTTTGGTCTTTTAATTTCATGAATATATATTTATAACATATACCTGTCTAGTATTTTCTTTCCTATTTACTTTATGAATCGTATATTGTATCTAGTTAACTACATTATTATCGAGACAATCGGAAACACAACCTATGCGACTGTATGAGAGTAAACTGTCTTTATGTGACGTTGTGTTTCAAAATATAAACATGGATAAAAATTGCACATGTTAAGTGAGTTACTAAACTATGAATAGGTTTAGAGTAGAAGGATTACAGTAATATTGTAGACTACATAGGGAACAAATATTAAAGCTTCTCAAGGAAAGCATAAACTGGTCAATAAAGTTAAACTCTGAAAAATAATATTGACTCCAACTACTAAACAGGTATTAAGTTAGACAAAAATATCAAGCTATAGGGAGTTAACATATTTATCAAATACAGATTACACTGCTTATTGTTAGCATTGAGTAGTGTAGTTTGAGAAATACACTTATTTCTCATACATTTTCATATCGCCAGCAATAATAATTATTGTTTGAAGCGACAAAAAAGTAAATGACTTGTTCCCAAGATGGCTATCCATAAGCCATTATGCTTCAATGTTTACTTTGTATAGATGGGTGATAGAGTCACTGTACACAGTAGAGTAAATTAGAAAGCTAGTTTGATTTATTTCTCTAGTCATATACACCAAGAGTAGTTGAAAGATTAGCTTGTCTCAGTGCTGTAAAGCCTCAAAAAGATATTTTCACTGACATGACAAAGAATATTGTTAGGCATAAAATAGAAGTAGAACCATAATGTACATTTAGCTATTCATTCGCGTTATATAATGAGGTGATTATTGAAGACAAGAAGAAATTGAATGTAGGCTAATGAGTATGCAGGTGCGCAACTAAAATGAGTGAAACCGAGATGAAATGGCAATGAAGTTGAGTTAAATTAACTGGCTCTTACACATATATGAACCATTTGTGAATTAATAATAAACAATCTATCAGAGATCAAGTACTTATTCGTTAGTGAATATGTGGAAGTGTGTCCACTTTAACAGTTTAAAGGGAGATAAAACTCCTGAAATTGTAATGTGGTTAACTAAATTAGACACTTGACCAATACTCAAGTTACGGATCCAATCCCCACTTCCCTTATCATGGCCGGGAGAGTAAATTAGTATCATTAGTCCTCACATTATATTTATGACTCATCGTTATGCGCACTGATACAATATACCAGAGTCAATGAATATTACCAGTCTCATAAATAACTAAAACTAGACTACAGTATATTATGTTGCAAAACTACCGAATAATTCATCTTGTATTTAATTATATTCGGCCACCTTAAATTTCTAAACTACCTAAATTTCTATCGAGCATAATGCATAAACTCTTCTCCATTTCCTATTGTTTGAATCATCCACTTGTATCATGAAACTCGCGCACATTCATAATTAGCCTTCGATGACATGCTGTACAGTCCTCTGAGGATTTGAAGGAAGAATTTCGCACTGGATAGGATCTTGATTCAGGTGGAACAACACTGTGTTACAGCATATACTATCGGTTATTATTTAACTTGAAGATCCCGTACAAAGAGTAAATATTTTGCAGTTAAATACGCTGAGAATTCTTTACTTTGTGCTAAAATATTGCATAGAATATAGCTGTTTCTTATTTTCTTAGATTTTACTTGACAAAATTAATAGTTTTGCTGACTTGTACACCTGCAAACCGTAAACAAAACTTGCTTTTCCGTGTAGCAGAATGAACAAAAAGCGATCAAACATTGTAACTCAGCTTGTTATCACTGTCAGGAGTGATTAAGGATATTTAGTAAGGAGACTGACTCCACAAGGGAATCGATTCAAAATAATGGTGGACGCAATACAAATAAACGTAATCCATTCAAAAAAATCTATAGAGGGGTCAAATACTAAGAAGTCAAACGCTTTTACTGGATTGTTAGAAAAACTAAATACCAAATTTGTATCGCAACATGAAGGCAGGAAAAATGTTAATGACTATACCACCAAAGTAAAAATAATTTTACACTTGTTTTGATTATTTCTTAAACACGTTAGGACTAATTTAAATAATTTATAATGAATCACTCTGACTCGGCGCTCAAATTATTCCAGGAAGTTCGTAACATCTACGGTCTGGAAACTTATAATTTATCACTTGCCTAACTACTATCATGCTTTTTAGTAATGCTCATTAACACTGGATAACTTTTATTTGATTAACCAGTAAATTACTCTTTCCAAAGTAAGTAAACAGAGCGAAAAACCCAAGTATAAAACATCCTGAAAATCATCGTAAAACCCTTCAGAAGAGAAGTTAGATAAATTCTTACTAATGCACCCAGCTACTTACTATCTTGACAGTAGTGTAAATTAAGAGAACGAATAATCCCTTTAATATATTTGATAGCCTCTGCTGTTTGGTGTTTTAGTCCAAATCGGCCACCATGCCAGAATTGAAAAATCCTACGGGTACCAAATAAACTGCCGAAAACATCGAGGTGTCACATGCTCCAAACAGCAGAGGCTATTACAATTCGCATGAAACAACCAGTGATTTTGTGTGCAAAAGAAGCAAGTCCAGCCACTACTACTGCCCTGACCTTCAGTATAGACTATAAATTCATGAATTTGCATTATTATCTTTGCTCATTTTTTTTCATATTCAGTATATTGTTATGTTGACGCTACCGAACTGTAATCCATTGATATTATTATTGATTCGATGTTATTTAAACAACATCAATGTTGTCAATAAGACTAATTCATTCATTCACTATTATGTACATATATAACTATAGAACCTAATGATGAATTTATGGAAAAGAATATTCCTTTTTCAATAGCCATTCTTTTGAAAATGTTAATGGACATTTTTAATCAGTTTAAATTAAAATAAACAAAATGATAAGGGATTTAAGAATAAGACTAGTACTACTCTTGGAAATAGAATCAGGTGAAGATTACCAAGAGTAATATTAGTTATAATCCGTCCCATTCTTAAATCCCTTATCACTTTGTTTATTTTAATTGGTCATTCAGTTTTCACATAAATTGATTCGACGAGTAAGTGTGTGGTCATGTTGTTCGAAATTTATTGCACAAATACGCCACACTTTTCAGATAAACTCTAATATCGCTATCCAAAATAAATTACTTCAAATGTGTGCAGCCAAATGAACGAAAGAATAATACACAAATGAAAACCTGCTATATGCTGATGAACTTTATACCGCTATAAATCTTCCTAGAAGCATACTTCGAACAATGAAGATTATGAGATCTGAAATATGCTGCAGAGCGACTCTCAAGTAGTTTAGGTTTATCGACGTGTTTGGGTTTAGAATGGTTGACACATAAGGGCACTACTTCAAGTTAGGACACTTCCGGCAAACATAAATAAAAATAGAAAAAGTAAAGTAGTGAAGCTAAAATAAACGAAGATGTACGAGACAGAAGATAGTTAGATGAAGAATAATAAAAATTTTCAGAAACTAGATGGCAAGGTGTGAATACGTATGCACCATCACAAACGATTTCGAGCCACATCACCAGCTATCTCCAAATATATATTCTTAGCACACAGAGGACCCTAACCAGACAGTCTACATCTATCTATGTGGTTCATGCACATGATCCAAGGTTCGATTCCCTGCCGAAGCACACTTGATATCAATGGTCAGCCTGCTAAATTTGGGCCACCAATATCACATTGCTGAAAATTCCATAGTAGTACGAAAATTATGTGTGGAATCAAGCTATAATAAAAACTCTTAAAAATAAAAAATATTGGTTGAGGAAGACAGCGACTCTTCCATTTCAATGGATGGAACTTGATAACATTGACCAACTTACCTATCCTATAAAACACTGCACTTAATCGCTTTATTACTTCCCATATTGCTTCAGCTAACTCCACAGAGTAAACGGAGGTACCGATGGTCAAAAACCGCTATTCGCTTCATATCTTTTATTTTCAGCTGCCATGTCCCACAGCCGTGAAGTAAAATGAATCGAACTGCTGAACGGACCTTTTATATCCGCGGCTAAAGTTTGCTAGCAAACGCTTTATTAAGGGCTGACACAACTTTGCAAATATGAAGCGTAGTCAACAAATTCAACCACTTCACTCCTTATTCTCAGATTGGATGTCGGTATGGACCAGTTCTGTAGCGGCAAGGTACACTTAAAAAAGGTGAATCGTAACCCGAATATATATTCAATAGTCTTCTCAGTGTTACTAGAGGACTCTGCATCTTGCCAACACCACCGCCTAAAAAGGCAGTATAGTGTATGTACCATACGTCAACAGGACTTTTCCCTGGTACCATGTTAAACACTGAAAATTCAAAGCTGATCACGGTCAAATCTATTCGAGTAAAATGCTTTGATCACTAACATATGTTTTCTAAGCACTTCTTTTACAACCAGACATCGCCACAGTAACTCCCGATTGACGGAGTAAAATACCGCCTTTGGATTTAGAAATATGACGTGTTGAATATCGGTAAGTCTTCTTGTATCCCGGAACCCACAGAACGGTATAGACATGATATGCCCTCACCCAGACCGATTCTATCGTATCTGCTTCTCCAAGGCTCCACTTATTCTCAGTAGGATTATGTCAAATACAGTTAGAAGTTTGGTACTTACATTGCGGTAAGACTAAGTTTGGATGACTTAGTTAAATCATCCAACAATCCATACGTTATTATAATGAATCCAATCATCTCTTCTAAAAAATTACCAGTCCCATCCTTACAAGAAATCATCTTCCTTTCTATAGCCCTTTTAGAACCCTTTTCTCTAAAGCGCCCAATAGGTTGACGGTTACCTGTTACCGATGCCTTTCTGAATTCTCCTACTTCAAATACTCACTGATGTTTATGGTCGTTGTGGAGACTTCGCCAGCTCGTGCTATAGTTCCTTTCTCTTTTTGTCATGATCAGAGCCCCCTGAAATTACTTCCTTGTATCGGCAAGTTTGAATGAGGCTGCAGAAATTCGCTGGCACTTGTAAGTAGGTTAACAGCAATCTTTAATACTATTTCTTCAACAGCCTGATTATGGTTCCAAAATTTTGCAGTATCATACTTTTGGTACCATACCAAGATGAATATTTAGTCGTCTCATTCCTAAAAGCCTACCTCATTTTCTCACTAAAAAGCAGGACATGTAAGGGGTTGACAGCTGCCTGTTTTCTACATCCGCTTGGTCGCAGACATAAACGCGAGTCTACACAAGTTTTCCAAAACGATTACTTTCGGATATTTAGGCACATCTTGTGTGAAGCTTAAGATCTCCGAAAACGAAGACACTAGATGTAACGTGAGTAGCATATCCCACCTTAGAACACTCATATGAATATTATACAAAATGTATACAAGCACCCATTTTAATAGAATTAACAACAGAATATGACAGGTTGTTTATGAATTATTTATAACTACACCATTCAAAATCACTACGGCTTACGTTTCCTATTAAAAAAGCTGAATCATTCTATCGGGTTAATTTGTTATTGAACTTAGCGAATAGCACAGACAGAAAATATGGTTGTGTCCAAAAACCTAGGATTTAGCCATACGTTTTACTTTACAGGAAGTGATACACTTCGGAAAGGTACAACAAGGGAAAAAAGAACAATATCCAGATAAAAATCAGGTACATCACTTGCAATGCTCTTACAACGATTAACTAGAGTGCTGATTTCTGTTAGATAGCTATTGATACACAATGAAATGTATCAGTCAAATAAATGGTGGGTATTTAGGCAGAATACAACACATTCATTTGCATTCGAAAATTAAAACGTGATTTTTCACCTTTGGTCTTAATCAAAAGCTGTTAGGTCAGCCCTTTTGTTAAAAAAGAATAACGATCTATAAAATATCACCTTTGATCGAAACGAAACAGATGATCTGCTTTTATGCCATGTCATCTAGAGACAGAGAGCAGAGCTTTAATGATAACGAAGTTCAAGAATTTTCTTTTCCACAGATTTTGTTTACATATTTTATCAACATCCGATGACTTGCTGTCTGATCTATTCACTTTAATTAAGACGTCATCCAATGTGGTTTTACAGATTTAATCGACATATATGTGACCCGCTGTAGATAATCAATTTTATAGTGATACATACAAAATTCGACAACACGCAGTAGATAATCTTTTATGCAACATAATAAATAATTAAAAATGAGACATTTATAGAAAATAATAATAACTGTAATGCAACTTACATGTCCATATAGTACATCCAGATCAATTAGATTTTTCCAAATCAAAAATGCTGAAACTTTGTACAATGATTCTGGTGTACCAACACCAGGTTCCTGTAAAGAAAACAATTAATGACAATAGTAAAACTATACCTGAGTAAAATGGTACTTATGCCCCAGGATGTTAGTCATGTCAATCTTATCAGGATTATAGAGGCGTATCAACTGCACAAACTCCTCGTACATATCACCACGAAATTCACATACATCCAGTATTAAATCCAAAACACGATTCGGATCCAAATCAAAGTAACCAATCAATGAACGAATCTGATTCATAAGACCTTCCAGTGAACTGCTAGATGATATCTGACACAATTCAGTAATCAGTTTAGCATAACCTTCATTCTCTTCTCGTAACAAATTAAACTTCTGTTGTTTGAAAAACAAACGCGTTTTTGTACGCACATAACGTGTTTGAAATTGCTGTTTTGATTGAATCAATGATAAATTTTCTAAAGTATCTTCACAAAACCGTTCCATTATTAATGCAGGATTCACATAATCCTTTAGAATCTCCATTAGACGATAGAAACGATCCCGAACAGATTCTGAATTAATATCAGCAATTGATGAATCTAAACCAATTTTTTCAATGAGCAGACCATTATTAAATTCACTAACCAATTAACCACAATGAATCCAAAAGTTTAGATTCAAAAGACGAGTGACTACCGAATAACTAAGACAATTGATTGAATTTGAAAAAAGACACTACTTTAAATAATTCAGGAACCAGTTTAAAAAGTATGTCAAATTTTCCTTCTCCGCTCATTAGTTTCAATACTAAATCCGTGAATAATTTGACTGATGTCACCATTCCGCTTTCTTTGCACTTTGTCAAACTGTGGTAAAAAGAAACAAAATCACATTGTAGATACACTGTACAAAATAATAATTCTTATTTTAAAATAAACCAACATGGAGACTCAAAATTGCATTGCTTTAGGTATTCGCAAAGAGCAACACAAAAGGAAAGAAACTGATAGAAAAAAAACGTTAAGATACATAAAGGGTAATACGTAGTATGTAATGCTATAGGTTTACGATTTGGAGACTTTTAGCGGTTCAGAAACCGAGACAAAGGAAGAGGACCATGTCAGCACTTATTCCTAAATTCACATCTAAGCATCAAGGTTAGTAAGCGAAAAGAAAAAGTACGATTCACCAGCTATGAACAGTCTGACTGATGAATCAGCGTGAAACTTTGCACAGAAGTGCAATTCAAGTTGCCATATTCTGAAAAAAATAACGAAAAATCAGCGTTACAGAAACAGACAAACATAAGTGGAGAAAGCTTAGTGAAGTAATGTTTACAGGTCTGAAGAAGACGAAGAGTAAACACATTTCTCACTATAAACAATTTTTAGCTGTTTCACCAAATTTTCAACGGGAGATGTTTGGTACTTTTAGTCAGGCGAAATATAACTTCCCACTTAGTTCAGACAAACAACCAATGCCCTTACAAGTGACACTATTTCGTCATGACCATCCTATTTCTTCTCCAGGTCAATTCTATTTCCTATAAAACTGTTTATCAAGGAAGTTGGTAGCTTGATGCACACCAGTCACCTCAATTGATGAAGATTCACACCAACTGACATACCTTCCTTCTATATAACACTCAACATCAAAATTACAATGTTCCTCCACCTGATGTCAACAAACCATCAAAAAACATCTCTAGTCATAAACTTGTAGTATTTTCCTGTCTTTCTTTTCACGCCGGTCATGTCTCATGTCTGTGAAATAAAACAGAGCTATGCAGTATGTAGGCCCTTCACTGAGTGGCCGGCTAGAACTTTGCCACCCGAGATGACAAGCTACTAAATGCTAAACAAGCATTTTGTATCCGTGTTAAGATTGCTCCAGAAATCAACCTATCATGATCAATGCAACTTCGAAACACAAGAAATGATTTACACACTCATCAATTTCACCCTAAACACCACCGCTGTAGCATGATATTGCATTTGACAGAGGCTAAGTGTATTAGAAGCTGCGAAGCCACATGACTAGGAAGATGGATGAAGCAAAGAATTATAAAGTTATGATCCAAATGAATTAATGCATTCCGGACAGTGGACAACTTTAATATCACAACAGAAAAAGTTATACTAAAAGGAATAAAGACGGCATAAGGTAACATAGATAAACTTCATGAACCAACAGTGCTGACGAACGATTTTGAGGCATTAGGATCACTTCTGGTACTTCAAATAGCTTTACCATTATCATCTCTTCATGAGTCTGATCAAACTGCATCACCGTGAAACAAAACGGGGTTAAACTAAAATATATCACGATTATATATATATATATATATACCTCAAGGGAGTAATTTAATGACAACTAGGAACTGTTTACAATACACTTGCATACTTAATTCGTTTAGCTGTTTTCATTCATTTTGATCCACCTACTGCACCAGGCGTCAGTAGGTAAATAAACTCGTAAAATCAAGTGTGAATGAGGAGACTGCCATGAGATTTGACCCATAATGCAGGCTTAAGAGCTTAGTATTTGTTGTGGGAAGGCAATAACGTGAACTAGCAATAAAAAATTCGGCATAAGTGGAAATCACCATATTTAAAAGGACTACACAAACTTCATTTCATACAATTAAACTGTTTTGTTCTTCATTATTATTATGCCTTTGTCTCACACCTCTGTTTACTGTCTATATTATGCATTTCTCCTACTTTCTTCTCTTGCTTTGTGTGCTGAGTGAAGTGTGGCGACTTGAACTGCCGCACATATGTGCAAAGTTCTATGTCGAAAACAGACAGACAGACATTTAATACAAATGTTAATTTTCGCACCACATTCTATGCATACGAAGATACTCTTGAACTTCCATTATATTGTATTGAGTGCAACTCATACTTAGTCTTCGTGACAGTCCATCTCGAAATTCGCAATAGGCACTTACTCATGCTACATATTTCCGTTGCAATTTCCTGCTGGTCTCCATCGACAACATATGACCCTTCACTAAAATTCACTCAACGGTACGGAAAGTTCATGGAAATTCAGTGAAACACTTTAGGAACTGAAAACTTTTCATGATATGTTACGGCTACGATGCGCCTGAAAACACGCAGCTCTTACGGAGAAGCTATACTTAAGATAGGTTTATCAAAAAAAACAAGAGTTGGTTTTGTTGTGTAAGGCCGAATGACTGTTTCAAACATTGTCAGACACCATACATATGTGAAAATCGGTTCTAGTTGCAACTTGAATGTATCTTACGAAAAAAGGGTGTCGATACAGAAAATCTAGGAAGTGAAATTAACACTAGAACTATCTTACCAGTATCTACATGTGGATGTGATGAGAAAAAACCATGTTATTCTCCTCACAGGAATCTTACACATTTTGGAAGAATTTACTGCATGCAGGAAAGCTTGGAGCAATACCAGGCACTTTCCATCAGTTAAACAATCTTGCTATTGGCAAATCAAAAGGGTTATTACACAACTAATCACGACGGTTAAAAAGATATTCCTGAACCTGATCGACTAATCTTCACACTTCACAGGCAGAGCGGATCATCGTTTGTACCAGAAAACAAGCTACTTAAGCTTCGTAACAATTATAATTTCCTAATAAGATGACGTTTCTAGAGTCATCCCGAAATAATAGTCACTATGCCATTATCATCTTTACCAGTGTTATAGAATCAGACTTACAAGTTTTTTCTTCCAAATTTCTCCCAATCTTTTAAACAAGACGACGCAAATATAGGACTAGAACAAAAGGCCACAAGGTGTTCCATTTTAAATTTGCCGGTAAGAAACACCGCCAGATTAAACTGTTGGGATACCATTTATTGCTAATTATTATTAGAAGTGGAATTTAGGACGCTTACAATAGTTTAAAATTTTATTCCTCACAGCTTGCATTATTCACTCATGCATACTATTGAAAATGAAGGGTGTAATATTCAATACCCAATGTTGCTGTTGTGAATAGTTGTCTCTCTACTTTTCACTTACTTTCATTTGACTAGAGGTACCTAGGCATTTCAACATCTAGACAAAAGTAAATCTTACAACTTGTTCATTACAGCTCAGAGAGAGTGAATGTTAGTTTATGTTTGACTTGTACTTCATAATTATATAGACCGGATGTCATTGCACCATCAGACAGTCGTATATGAAGGAAAATAATGACAGGGGGAGCAATCAGGCTTTCCCAATAGAGAATTAACGAACGCTCCCACACGAGTATACATGGTGCATAAAGTAAAATGAAAGGTATGAAAACAAGAATAATAGAAGATGAAATACGGAAAAGGAGACTGTGTCTGATCAAGTAGTTATGCGACACAGTGAAATATCCCACCTTCTCCCTACACAATTAAAAGATTTTAGTTGACGCCAGTCTTTGACGGTGTTACTCTATTAAAGCGGTAACACCCTTGGGTATATGTACAAAAAGACAGTGTATATAATGGTGTTTAGATCATCACATTAAACGTTAATACTAAATGTTAGAAGTCATGGTACTGGGAGCTGTAAATTTAAGTTACCTATTTGTTATGTACTGCCTACAGCTGTAGTACTATCCTCGCTTTATAACTACCCTCATTAAGTGAGTAAATGAGAAATTCCAAACAAGGTATTGTGTTAAGTTACTTCATTTGAAGGGCGTAAAGGATGCGAACCTGCAAACTTAATCGATCTCACGCATTTCTAACTTGACTTCATTAGTTTCCCGGTCACTACGTGTTTATTAGTTTCGGAAACATGGCCGCTAGGTCTTTATTATTTTCTTCCATAGAATGGACTATCACATAATGTCCTCACATTGCTTTTATTCAGAAACTAAAACAGTATCACTTTTGCATCCTGGAGCTTTTCCTTACCACATTATTCATGCGCACTTGTATGCTGGTAGCATACTAAAGCATGCCTAGAGGTTGAAATTCTAATCGACTAATATACAAATTCAAGATTATCCCTGTACTCGGGTACTGCACAACCACTTCCATGTAATGAATGGATTTTGTTGGGAATTTTCAACGGCAAAGAAATCCTTGTCTACCAGATTAGGCGCCTGATATATGAACTTGGACTAATTTGGCTGACTCCTAAATTTCAGATGGATGTTTCTCTTTTAGCTTTTCGTTCTGTTTTAACGGTAAATCTCTGGGGTCTGTTCAACACAGAACGCTTACGCAGAGACAGTTGGTGATCAAGGGATAAAAAATATGTGATGAGTCAGGGAATATGATATGTAAGGCTCTTGTAGCGATAGGTTATTCCCCAGCATTATTAGCCACAACATTCATCATTGACTATTGGATGCTGACACTCACTGTTTAGGTCGACTTGTTTGGCTAAAGGCTCACGGTCAAGCATCCACACCACCCGACACGCCATCGTGTTACGCTCGTTCGTGCGCGATTCCTAGTTACTCAAGAAGTCAACCTCACAATAAGATTTGGTCCCGAAATATTCTTCGCAATTTGGACGATCAATTTAGTGTTTTTCTTTCCTTTGGTCTACGTGGGACAGGTACTATGGAAGTTGTGGGTATCGCAATCAAGCATTGATTCTACGAAAGCCCTTACTATAGTTCCTATATGTTATTTGTTGTGAAGTGGAGGTATGAGCTGCATTGCTACTCAGTGGAAGTGGCAGTGCACACAGCACTGTTTTGTGGTCGCTACCTGAGAACTTAGAACCCACTAAGATTGAGAGGGGACTTATATCGTGACAGAATCTTAAGTCCAGTATGTTGTCACCTCTTGTAGGGATAGTGACAGCCCGTTTCCAGACGAAAATGTCCAGTGTTCCTAAGAGCTTGTCATATTTACTTGGGCCTGCTAATAAATCCCAGTTGATTTCGGGTAGGTTTAAGTCTTCACATATGATCTTATGCTCGTATGGAAGAGTGGATACTTGCTCCAATACATTTATAAGTTGTGTCTCGTAATCACTAAAGGTGCCAGGTGCTCTGTAGATACATCCTATTAGTAGTGTAGCACTTTTGAAGTGTACGTTGACCCATAGAGTGTCAGGCATGTCATTGAGTTCCCTATTTTCCAGCTGTAATACAGTAAGTGTGTTCAGGAAGTACATTAGGCAGCCTCCTTCCTTACCACTGTTCCTGTCACATTGAAAGTGTGTGTACCCATCGATGCTTATCTCTTCGTCTGGTATATTGGAGTGACACCAGGATTCAGAAATAGTGATTATTGGGGGTTGATATACCAGCGTGTGTGCCCTGAGCATCGCTAGTTTGTTTAGGATAGATCTAGCATTAATAAGGATTAGAGGAAGTTGAGAGTTGAAGTAGTGTTTGAAGTACTTAAGCTCGTTAATCAGGCTTAAGTGTGGATTGACATCCACTGGTTCCGCGTGGTATAACAACCCTGTGTTACAATTAATAATAATATAATTCGTACAAACGAGTAAGCTTACATGAAATGCATGCCACTTTTACGGGCACGATCAATTACGTAACAAATCACAATTGTGAATTTGCATAGATTAGCACTTTTCAAAAGTTCACATTGGTGAATTATAGTACAAGTGATCAGAACAGATCCTTATAAATGTTAAATTGTAAACCCTTCACTAGGGTCACCATCGAAGTTGAGCGACAACCCAAACTTCACTACATTTCCTGGTGATAGTTGTGGCCAATCGATAAACAACATCTATTTGAGTGAGTCCTGTGCCCCCGCGTGATTGAATGTTACTTTAGGAAGAGAAGAACGTCCTGAGCAGCTGCAAAATGGTATAAAATGCAATTATGGATAAAACATTATTGGAAATATGTTTACAAGAAGAAGCTATAGAGTATTTGAAATGATAATACACATTTGCAATGTATGATGCTAACCATATTGGCCTCACCACGGAAAACTATGACGTTTTCGAAGAAAACATAGCTATTCTCGAACATGGGTGTTGTTATGTTTTTCTCTTCATTAGAACAACCAGACTTTATGCGAGCGAAGAGTGTGAATAAAAGAGTAAATTTCAGCTTTAATAAAGGCATAGGGAGTTGAAATAAAATGAAGTGTAATAGTAAATAGATAAAAGGATTGGCATCTCAGGGAGGATTGGCTTGAGAGATTAGAACCTGTAGGATATGCTGGCCTGTAAGATGTCTGGCGAGTTTGTGTAGGGCCCATGGGATAGCATCTTGATAAGAAGATGAGCAGGCTTGTAGATGTTAGGAGCAGTAGTATTTTTTTAATAATTTAGATCTGTGCAGTCATTCTAATTTTTTTAAATTTTTTAAGTTAATTTCTTTGTGTTGAGGATATGACTCATGTCTAATTCTTGAGCCGTCAAGAAATGCATGTTGCTGTTCTACAGGTCAGAACGATTCACATTGGCGAGCACTACCATATATGCTGATCAGCATGCACCACTCTCCCTCCATTTTTGATATCAAGCTCTGAGACGTTTTGAAGTGACTGTGGTTGTAATATTGCATTGCTTTGACTCCCTCCCAATCATACAGTACGCTGCACATTAACAGCTTTCATGACAAATGCTTCCCATTTGGACACGTCAATACCAGAGGACATTCTTAGCAGTATTATCATCATCATATGAACAAGTGGGTTACTACAAAAGACTAGGAAATAAAGTTTCCCTTAGGAATTATGAAGTATAGAAATAGCTAGTATTACAGCTAATAAGTTGCATTCTATTTGGCAGAGTGATATGAGTAGTGGAACAATTAGTGGTGAAGTAATGTAGAAGGACCCTGAGAAAAACAACTGGTTAGCAGAACGTCGTCATATTGATGCGTCGGTAGTTTTCAATATTAGAAGTTTGTCCTAGTTTGTGCCCAGGGGTTATAAATGGCAGCCTCCAGCGCTCTGAGTGACTGCCATTATTTAAGGACAGACTGAAAAACTTTAGGAGGATAATGAGTATGTCCTCACCACCCCTTTTTAACAGGATAGATGGAATTCCATCAGGGCCGGCATTACATGATGTGCGGAGGGATGCCATAGCGGATGAAAGTTTTTGTGATGTGAATGTTATATTACCCAAAAAGTGACTTGGTGGAGTCGGAACATCAAGACTACCTACTGTTTCTTCGTTAGTAAAGTAGCTAGAAAAGTGGAAGCTGAATAACTCGCATATCTCCTGCGGGTCTTCGTACAGTTTTTCTCCACGTGGTAATAAGTTAGGGATACTCATTCTGTTGTTGCTAATTAGTTAATTAGCTTTGGTTAATTAGTTTTAATAATGCCTCTGTATTATCGGGTAGCGAGTGGAGGATGCGTTTTGGTATGATGGACTCAGATAAGTGATTAGATTTATACGAATCATAAGTTTGCCTGAGTGTAATGACTGCTGAAAAGTTACAAAATCTGCAGAATAGTCTGGCATGCTTACGCAGGCAGTTTCGAATCTTTACGGAGACGAAGTTGGGCCTTTAAGACCTTGTTCTTACCAGTCTTGCTGGAGCGATGAAGTAGTGTGTAGATCCCGAATCCCCGCCGAGTGAATTGTTTGTCTCTATAACCGAGCTGCATGTAAATTATGGTTCCCAGTCTAGAGTGAATAGGTATGGTTTCAGTTCATCCTACTGAGCTTGTCTATAACCCTTGAGTAATAATTTGTTGGCGCTTATTGTTGGACTCACGCTGGTGTAAATATTGAATGTATCAAATACTACTCTGTGATCGCTGCCAGGAAACTCTTAACCTAATCGAAGGGTATGAGGGGATGGTACCATTAGCAAAAACTAGATCCAAAATCTTGGATAGCCTGTGGGATGCTTTACGTGTTATTGCCG